CATTATGCATACGTCTCCACTTAGCAGTACGTGACAGACCCGGTACCTTGCTGGATTGCCGTTTCATCTATTATATCCGAATACCATTACGTTTTACATTATGAAATAAATAAGTGTATCCATAAATGTGAAATACATATATATAAGTATATATATATTACAAACAAGTAGCCTATAACTGTGAACTCAGATAACAAATACCCGGAGAGAGGCTCACCGTGAGTACGAACGACAGCGAAACAATATGGCGTATTCTGGTCCGAAGGTTAGTTCATTTAAACCAATTAAAATCAAAATCGTTAGAATACAACTTTCAAGGGTGTAAATGAATTAAAAATAAAATAAGTAAGTAAGTACAAGCAACTAGGAAAATTTAGGACAGTTTAGTGGGCCAAAAACTGCTAATGCAAAATATAACACATTAAAAAGTAGGTTTCTATGAAATGAAAAACCATTCATTTATGTCAAATGGTTGGTGATATCTTGAATCATTTTACAAAATGGACTATTTTGATTTTTTTATAAATCATTTGCACAAGCAGTTTGAAATTCTATACAATAATTATCGAGATGCCCCGGTGACGAAACGGTGACTCTCGAGTGTACCACTGTGCTGACTATGTCCCTCCCAACCGCGCGAATTCGAACGAATGTCAAACAAGCGATATTATGCAGCCTAATATGGGTTACATACATTAGTCAATAATAAGCCTAATAACACGAGATCTGCGTATAGAATGAATCTCGCTGAAAAACTTGGGCGTCGTGCTCATGATTATTGAGGAAATTAGCTCTTTTTAGCCACGACGAATGAAAACCAAAACACACCAACACCTTAGTGTTTTGGTTTATCATTCGTCGTGGCTAAGACAAGCTAATTTCCTCAACATTTAATAATCAGTCGTTTTTAGAAGACTTTGTAGTTGAGATGTCACACCATCACCTTCTCCTCACTGACTGGCGTCAGGTGGTCTAGAGTGTCAGTGTATTTCTCGATTCACTTGGAAATGTTGAATTCTGGCTTAAAACAAACCTTGCATACATTGTCGTAACTCGGTATACGCGCCTCTGAAATTACTTCCGTTATCACCAAAGATGGCTTCAGGTTGTACGCGTTTTGCCGTAAACTGTATTAACGCTTGTATAAACGAAGCCGTTGGCCGAAAATGAGCGACTTCCAGGTGCACCGCTCTTATATTTAGACAGATGAACAAACAACAATACCGCTTTTCTACGGTCCTTCCACGCTTTACAAGAAAGGACCAAAGTAATCAACGCCAACCTGAGCGAACGCATGTCCTCTAATGTAGGTGCGTTCATTGGGTAAGGGCGCCATCAACGGACCTTGGGTCAAATGAGATCAAATTGCATCAAAATGTGTCTTACGTCTCCACCGAGGAATTTGTTGATCTAAGTGAAACATCCCTGCCGGCAAAAACGCGAATATAACGCGAATTTGCAACAGGCACTCTGAGAGATTTTACGACCCCACGAAACGACTCTCCTTTATCCTATAATTTCTCCTACCTTTTATCCACTCCCCAGTATACTTCTAATATACCTATCTTGTTCATTTATGATCAACACGTCCCATACCTCCCGCTTAACTGCTATGCCTACATTTGAATCTACCGGTTTGCTTCTATCGATTAATCGTTGAACTATGAAGTGAAATTTGAAACAAAGAATATACCACTAATGAGATAATAATAATTTATTATTTAAATCTGCACAACTGAATTAGGGAAATGATAAGCTTTGCAAAACGCGGAAGTCGGAGTGATATTAGAGCGAAAAAACGCTCCGGTGTGTTGGCGGGGAT